AGTAATGCACTCATATGAGTATATCAGTATATTCAGCATGTTCGCATTAAGAGGTCGCAACAGTTGGACTTAATGGAGCAGATGCACTTTTACATGGCAATTCCATATTCGGTGATTCAAGCCTTCCAATCTTGCAGTAATTAAACAGAGAGCTACGACTGGACTTGACCAACAGCAAGAGCCAAGCTTCACTAAGGCATGCTCAGTCTACGAACTCCAGCAACTGATTCGTAAGCCTTAGCAAGCCTTGATGCAATTAGGCAACAGCTTTGGCCAATCTAGAGCCCACCCCAGCTGGACTGCATTTTGACGCTGGGTCGATCCTGAGCAAACCATTTGACGAGCGTGAAATGCGAAGTAGAGTCACCTGCGGAGTGTTCCAACCATGTCCAGGAAACAACTCGCGGAGCTCTTGCGCAGCATGCACTGCGCTGTGTTGAAGGGGAAGAGATGAAGGGCCATGAAGATTTCCGTGAGGCCACCTGACAATCAAGATAATTCCGAGATGCCCATTACCAATAGACACGATCCTGTTTAAGGTGTTTATGGTGCGTTCCCGCCCAGACTTTTAGGAAACATTTTGGAGAGACGGAGAGACTACTTTAGGGACCCTGAGGTTTGGAGGATCAAGCAGAAAACTAACTTGATGTTTGAATCCCGAGGCTTTGCACTGCCAAGGACATCTTGTCAGAGCCAACGCTTTTGGAGCTTCAAGGCCCGCTGGTGGTGGGAAAGCTCCATGGGCGCCTAGGCATCCGTCCACTTGATCGCCAGATTGTCCTGGCCAAATGACTTGGCATGCCTGGTTCGACAAACGGGCTTCGACCAGAGTTGCGCCACTCAGACACACGCAAACAAAATTCACACAGGCAGACTTGCAACAAGCAAGTTTGCAGCCAGGGGCACTTTCACGCTTCAATATGAGCAGAAATGATAATGCCGGGCATGTTTTGCAGCAACCCTGTGAGTACCCACGGGGAATCCGTGGAAAATACACATCCCAGAGCCCACAACAGCTCACACGTGAGCCAAAACTGCCAAACCAACCCTTCTGAAGCAAGACATACCGGAAACGATGCAGATTTTTGCAACCCAGACTTAGAGCCCAAATGCAGACTCCGAAAGCGTTTGGCTTTGACAAGGATTCCGGAGAAGACACTTATTCCAGACCTGAGCCCGAACATCTACACGTCGGGGCACTTCCATAGCGTCTTGTCTGAAAGGAATCAACCCTGAGCTCACCTAGACCAGTGGGATGGATATGCAGCAGCAGACTGCAATTTTTTTATGAAGCAGTGCTACTGGTAGGTGCATGCAGGCCTTGAGGGGCCCTGCTCACAATTGAGGCACTTTGATCAGCTTCTGCAGATCTTCTAACAGTTTGGTCCTGCAGGAGATACCAGCTTCTTGGCAGGGCAAGAGCCTTCGCTGCAGCTTTGGCACAAGTTTTTATACGAGCATTGCTTGTGGCCTGCAATTTGAAAGTACTTGGGAGAGGGCGTTATTTTTTCTTGAACACGTACACAACGCCGCATGGGCGGAAGCATGCGGAAGGTTTTGCGGCTGGGTTTTCTTTCGCGCAAGGTTTGCGCAACACTTGTAGTTTGATATGATTTGGTTCAGTTTGTGAACAGCACTGTTGCGCCAATAGATGCTCGCGGAAGCAAAGATGGCAAATCATGTGCCGCGGAAGAGCGCGGAAAAAATCCTGTCGGCCGCCCGCACATGCATGGCTTCCATTCATTATTCCGGCAACTTGTTGGTCGTGCGCGATTGGTAAAACCTGCATGGCGAAAGGCCGGCGATTGGGTTGCGATTCGGGTAACACCTACATGTTGGGGTGGCCCCTCATTGGAAGCGCATAATATGTTCGCGAGTTTGCTCCGCGATTGGCCCCGCTGTGGTCGCAATTGGAGCGCGAAAGCGTGCGATTGTAGGGTTTCCAGGAAAATTATTGGATATCCCCATGTACCGCGTGAGCCCGCAGAAGGAACCTTGTTTGCCCGTGACAAGGATGCGGGAGGGTCCGCGGAGGATTGAATAGCGTCCACAAGTGTAAGGGGACTCAAATCCAATTCTCATATTTGTGGCGCTCGACGTTTCACTGGCCCACGCCAGGCTACTTATTCCTGGGCTCCAATGTGAACAGAGGACCACGTAGTGTTGACGTGATCTCACTATTGCTGCTGCACAAGGCTGGGTCAACCCCTTTCCGCGAGCATAAATGTAAAGAAAGACGACGTATCCGTTCAGCTATTTTTCGGGCTTGGTTTGGCATCTGAGTCATGGCTACACAGCTTTCCCTGAGGCTCTTTCCTGGTCTGTTAAGGTTTTTGGGTTGGTTGGTGAGCAGCATGCTGTAACAAGGTGCCGTGAACTTAACAGGGCCCGAACGACAACGCGCACTCCCTACAGTACAAGAGTGGCTCACTGGCAAGACGGCCGTGGGTCCACGAACACAGCACTGAGCCAAGGGGCCAGTAGTGGTCTTCCTGAAGAGAATCCCCACCCGACAAGAAACGTGAGTACGGCCAGTGAGCCAGAGCATGCTCGGGACGCCGTGCGTCGGATTGACTTGCTGGTGCCTGTGTATCCGCTGTCTAGTTTAGCCAGTCTTCTTAACAGGGATTGTTCGAAAGAAAGTATTTCCCCCAGATAGCTGAAAGCTATAGGGGTTCTAACTTCTAATAAAGAGAGGAAAGTGATTTGCGAGATTGAGGGCCGGGCGCTAGGGGGCATGCAGTTTGAGGTGCTGGTGGATGCTGCTTTGCGAGCTTGACGGCCGGGTGCTAGGGGGCATGCAGTTTGAGGTGCTGGTGGATGCTGCTTTGCGAGATTGAGGGCCGGGTGCTAGGGAGCATGCAGTTTGAGGTGCTGGTGGATGCTGCTTTGCGAGCTTGACGGCCGGGTGCTAGGGGGCATGCAGTTTGAGGTGCTGGTGGATGCTGCTTTGCGAGATTGAGGGCCGGGTGCTAGGGGGCATGCAGTTGAAGGTGCTGGTGGATGCTGCTTTGCGAGCTTGACGGCCGGGTTCTGGGGGGCATGCAGTTTGAGGTGCTGGTGGGTGCTGCTTTGCGAGCTTGACGGCCGGGTGCTAGGGGGCATGCGGTTTGGGGTGCTGGTGGGTGCTGCTTTGCGAGCTTGACGGCCGGGTGCTAGGGGGCATGCAGTTTGGGGTGCTGGTGGGTGCTGCTTTGCGAGCTTGACGGCCGGGTGCTAGGGGGCATGCAGTGTGGGGTGCTGGTGGATGCTGCTTTGCAAGCTTGACGGCCGGGTGCTAGGGAGCATGGGGGGCATGCAGTTTGGGGTGCTGGTGGATGCAGCTTTGCGAGCTTGACGGCCGGGTGCTAGGGGGCATGCAGTTTGGGGTGCTGGTGGGTGCTGCTTTGCGAGCTTGACGGCCGGGTGCTAGGGGGCATGCAGTTTGGGGTGGTAGGTGCTGCTTTGCGAGCTTGACGGCCGGGTGCTAGGGGGCATGCAGTTTGGGGCGCTGGTGGGTGCTGTTTTGCAAGCTTGACGGCCGGGTGCTATGCAGTTGGGGGTGCTGGTGGGTGCTGCTTTGCGGGTGCTACGGGGCAGGCAGTTTGGGGTGCAGGTAGATGCTGCTTTGCGAGCTTGACGGCCGGGTGGGGGGCTGCTGGTTTGCGAGCTGGCCGGCGAGCTTGACGGCCGGGTGCTCGGGTGCTGGTGGATGCTGTTTTGCGAGCTTGACGGCTGGGTGCTGGGGGCATGCAGTTTGGGGTGCTGGTGGATGCTGTTTTGTTTTTCGAGCTGCCCGGGTGCTAGGGGCATGCAGTTTGGGGTGCTGGTGGATGCTGTTTTGCGAGCTTGACGGCCGGGTGCTGGGGGGCATTCAGTTTGGGCTGCTGGTGGATGCTGTTTTGCGAGCTGGCCGGGTGCTAGGGGGCATGCAGTTTGGGGTGCTGGTGGATGCTGTTTTGCGAGCTTGACGGCCGGTTCTAGGGGGCATGCAGTTTGGGGTGCTGGTGGATGCTGCTTTGCGAGCTTGACGGCCGGGTGCTAAGGGGCATGCAGTTTGAGGCGCGGGTGGATGCTGCTTTGGTTGTACCGGGTGCTAGGGGGCATGTTTGGGGGTGCTGGTTGATGCTGTTCGCGTGTAACGGTTCGTGGCTGGTGTATCGTCATGATGTTCCCACGTTATGGTGTGTGGGTGTAGTGGCGCCGTGATGCTGTCAACGTCAGGATGATGCAGAATTTCATTAAGCTGTCGCAAGATGGTTCGTGGCTGTGGTATCATCATGATGCTGCCCTTACCATCAGCATGATGCTGTTCGCATCACCATGATGCTGTCCGCATCATCATGATGCTGTCCGCATCATCATGATGCTGTCGAACTCATCAGGACCTCGTTTTTGTTTTTTCCTGCCGGATTGCTCTCAAAATAATCATTATGCTGCTGATCTCATTAGGACGTTGTCTGCGCGTTTGTTTCGTGGCTGTGGTGTCATCATGGTCTACATCATCATGATAATGCTGCGTCATGGTTCGTATCCGTGGTGTGCTATCTGGGGTCTATGATGGTGTAGTTTTTGTTTAAGCGCTGCGCATGTACTGTTGGGAAGCAGCAGCCACACAGGGATAGGTTTGAATACGTGGTGGTCAAGGCCAGGTAAACCCTGTCTTTCAACCACTACGTGCGCTTTGCAAGTTGACCCGCAAGTTATTGCAGCAGCATGCAAGCGGAGCATGCGATACGCAACGTGAGCAGGTTTGCAAGCCGCCGGCTTCATGTCTCGGTACAGGTGCGTGCTCCACATCGACTCTATTTGCTTCGGGGCGCCCACGAGCCGCTTGGGCTGCAGGTTACTTCCGAGGCACTTCGCCGACGCTGGCTGCGCACCTCAAATGGACTGTGCATACTCCGTTTTAGGCTTGAAACTGTGCCACTTGTGGCTGGAAGCAACCCCACAGCGTATTTCTATGACCGGTCGTGGTTGGGCATTCTCAAAGATCCTCTAAGAGGAGAGAGAAGCTTGCAAATGCTGTTAGGTATCAGCTCGATATAACCCCTTCCACTGTACCGCACTTAAGTTCATGCCATCACCTGTCCATGCAGTACAGTATGTCGTTTCGAATCAATCATCAAGCTAGGTGTCGGGCAGTTTGCCGCATGGAGGGCTTCTATGATGAGTGCAAGCGCTGCTACAATGTCAAGCTGCCCGGCTTGTGTCACAGACACAAGAATTTGCCCTAAAAGAGAAGCCCGAAAGACAGTGCTTGCAAGCAGCTTCAACAGACAAGCGCCTGCCAAGCCCTGCAAGTTGCTTTGATTGCTTGTAAGTAGGGTGGGCAAGGGCTTTTGCGTTGTTGTTTGTTGAGAGTCACAAGGCATTGCTGAAGAGCATCCATCTTCATAGACAACAACTGGGAAGTTTGGGCTCAAGTATATTGGTACCAACCAACAATTTGCTTACTTGTGCTCAAACAGGCAAAAGGAGTTCTATCCGTGAAACGTTGTTTATGTTGCCGTGGGGCAGTCGCAAATGAGTGTGTTCCAGTCTTGGTACTATCATGTGAGGCAAACATGCATCGATTTTACCCGTGGATTTTGTTTTGCAAGGCGCCATACAGCGGGATATAAGAAGCGCGTCTCTAGTAAGGGCCCGCGGAGCCAGGGGCAAACAATTCCGAAAGGAAACACTGCTATAGTTCAGGACATGCTACCGGTCAAGTGCAAGCGAATGCTCTGCAAAAACAGTGCAGGTTGTCACTCAGCTAGCACTAGCTGCGGACCTTCAGGAGAAGTGTTTGAGCCCACGTGCCCACCAAAAGGTTTCAGAGCCCTTTTAAGAACCTCTTCTAAAAGGCTTAAGGGAACCTTTCCAGGGGAGGAACGCGGGTTTCCTCGGTACTAGCAATCAAGTTAGATGTTTTCTCAAGGATGTAGTTAGTTCACTGGTTAGTTTGCCAATCATCAAACTTAGGAATGTGCTAGTGAGCGAGTAGAGTAGCTAGCAGCTGCTTTGCCAAGTTAGCCGACCAGCTTAGGTGTGGGCTGTCTGCCTGGGTTATTTGATTTGATAGTTGTCGAGTTGGCTTGTTTGGATTTGGCTTGTTTCGAATTGATTTGATTGATAGATTGATTGATTGATTGATGGATTGGATTGATTGATGGATTGGATTGGATTGGATTGGATTGGATTGGATTGGATTGGATTGGATTGGATTGGATTGGATTGATTGATTGGATTTGATTTGATTTGATTTGATTTGATTGGTTGGTTGGTTGGTTGGTTGGTTGGTTGATTCGAATTGATTTGATTTGATTTGAGTTGAGTTGAGTTGAGTTGATTTGATTGCTTGATTGCTTGATTGATTGATTGATTGGTTGATTGATTGCTTGATTGATTGATTGATTGCTTGATTGCTTGATTGATCATGTTGTTGTTTGCTTGTTTGATCGATTGATTCAATCCCTCAATTAGTCAATGATGTGTTGATTTGTTGATTGATGCAGTGATTCATTGATTCATTTATTTTGTTCATCAATTCTTTCAGTCATTCATTCATACACGTGTTTTTTTGTTCATTCCGTCCTTTCTTCATTGATTATTGTGGTTGTCCGTTTTGTGTGTGTGTTTGGTTCTGTCTATCTTTCGTTTTGTTTGTCTGTCTGTTTGTTTGTCCTTTTTTCTGTTTTGTGTGGTGGCGTTGTATGAGCGAAGTGCGAGCGAAGTGATCATGCAAACTGCCAGGAGTTGAAAGTTGATCCTGAGAAGTCTTCACAGGGTTGCTAGCGAAAGGACACTCCGAGAGAGGAGTGTCGTGCACAGTTGGCCAAGTGCCAGCAATTACCACCGCTGGTTGCACTTTTCTTGATTGACGAAGAGCGCATGTAGATCACAATACATATGCACCTGAATAAGTGTATACACACAACACATATTTGCAGACCTAGCACAACTGTTCACTTTCATTAGCAGAGCTGAGGCTGTACAAATCCTTTTGCGAGGTCTTTAACAGCATGCCGATTTGCGCCATCATCAATGAGCGGATATTCTGCGTCCACGGGGGTCTTTCACCCCATCTGACAGATTTGAATCAAATCAGGAGTTTGGAGCGCCCAACAGATGTCTCGGACACAGGCCTGCTGTGCGACCTTTTATGGTCAGATCCTGCGACAGGTTCTGGGTGGGCAGAGAGTCATCGCGGCTTTTCGATGACTTTTGGTGAGGACGTAGTGGAGAAGTTTCTCCGTGACTTTGGGCTCGAATTTATTTGTAGAAGCCATGAGTACGCGGAGGAGGGGTACCACCTCTTTGCAAATGGGACTTTAGCCACTGTGTTCAGCATCCAGGACTACCGAGATTTGGAAAATGACGGCGCCGTCATGGTTGTCTCAGATAGAGGCGAAAGAAGTTTCTCATTGCTCAGCAAAAAGTGAGTGGCGGCTGGCACCTGCACGTGTGAATGGAAGCTGCAACATTTGAAACAAGTCACGACTTTCACTGAAAAAGTGGAGTCCTGATGCTTTGAACTTCGGCATGCATGTGTCATCAATGATTGTTATTTGTGTCTTACTATGGACTCCTTACGCAAATGAATGCAGCAGAACAGACTCACTGTGATTCAATGAATTGTTACCAAGGCAAGACGATATGGAAGTGTGAAGCTTGCTTAAATGGTGGCGCCCTTTGGAAACGACAACAGGAATGCTGCAGCCCACAAGTGTCCTTGCTTTGGACGGCTCCTTGTTCGTGTGGTCTTCCCGCGTTCGTCTCGGTAAAGCATCCTCGAAAAGACTGTTGAATTATTCGTCTTCTCAGGCAGAGACTCTCACTGCCTTGCTTGATTTGTTGTTTAGACTGGCACCAGGGATTTGATCCTTGGTTTTGTGGTGGTTTCCATCACATATGAGCTACCTCGACGCATTTGCATTCGTAACGGGATTGCTCATATTGTTTGGGCTGCTGCCACCGCCCCGTCGCACTGTGGAAGAAAGCAAGGAGGGCTTCTCTAGATGGGAAAAGAGAAAGAACACCCATGCGATTTTCGACTTAAGACAGCAAGTTGCCAAACACCGGGTTGTACAATTTCCTCTCGTGGTCCTGCTTAGCAGGTAGGTCAGGTCAGGATACCCGTGCCAACTGCCAGGAAGCACCAGTGATTCTGTTTCACCCTGTGCAGCTTGCCCAGAATGGGCCAATTTCGTGGAGGCGGCAGATGGGCATGAGCCTTGTGCAGGGCCCATCAGAAAGAACATCACCCGGGCATTGACTCCAAAAAACATATTTGGTTCTGAAGCAAGCGACTCAAGAGACTTGACAGCAACTCACCATCATACCTGGACCAACCAAGGGCTCTTTTTTTGCGACTCTCTGCAAAAATCTTTGCATTTCCTTGAAATCCATACATTTGAGCAAAAACTGTACTTTTCTTGCCGGCTCAACATAAGACACAGGAGCATTTAACTACCTTTTTTCTACAAGAATCTCACTTTCAGCTCCGGCCATGGCACTGGAGATTGTCATGCTCATACCATTTGAAGGTGTGCAATTCACCAAGGACAAAAGGTGCGCATTTCCTCAAGAATATGTTCCGCTGATTTCCGTGCATTTTCCGCAGATTTCCGTACTTTTCCCGCCGATTTCCGTGCATTTCCCGCCGATTTCCGTGCATTTGCGGTTTCTGCATTTTGGCTGAGAAAACTGCAAACTCGCAAAAGCGGCAAGGAAGCTGTCACACATTGCCCCACAGCAATTGGAGACGAAAGACCTGAAACGGAATTAAGTATGACGGGCCGTGTAAATTGCAAACTGTGTTCATGTGCATCCAAGTGCACCACAAACGCTCACAGCCTGCTAAAAGCGATTTCCGTCAAATTTTCTGGAAAGTGTACATTGACACTTTTTTTCTGCATGTACGGAAATTTCAGTACTTTTGGAGGGTTCAGGTATGCCATCTTCACCAGCGGCATGTTCAACATAGGGTGGTGTGAGAAAGTCGAGTCAAGGTTCCATGGGCCCTAGGAGCTCCATTTGTGCCGTTGCCCGTGATAGGAATCCCTCGGCGCGTGTACAAAGTCGCGCGAATTTGAGTGCTTGGAGTTAAAGGGCGGCTTTGCAGAGGTTGTGTCTGAGGATGTGCATGTCCTACAGAGTAAGAAAGGCATTGCATCCTGCACGGTTCTCGGCATGCAGCAGGACTGTTCTGGAGATGCAGCCGCAACCTGTTGCTGTGTTTGTCTCAGCTAGAATTGTGGCACTAACGGTTTACATGTGGGCCCAGCTGTAAGACACATCACGCAATGCTTGAAGCTTTAAGTGTCGGATGGCTCTAGGGCAGTGTTGGTCATCGCTTTGCGTGGCTTCGTTCGAAATCAAACAAACAGAAGCTACGCTGCAGCTATTTCTTGGGCAGTGTAATGACTTTTCCCTCTGAATGACTCGCAGGCGCCAAACGCGTCCCTGGTTGAATCTCCTTTTCATGGGAGAAAGGGTAAGGGAAGTTGAGCCAAAACGCTCACGGGACGATTCCAAAGTCCGACCAAAGCTGGGGGGTTGCTCGAGCTGACCAGGGGGCAGTCAAATGTCGCACTGAACTTTTCGTGCTTGCTTTTGGGTCCCAGTCTTCCAAAATGTAACTTGCCAGCAATGAGAGCTTTTTGAGTGAGGTAGGGCTGGTGCTCAGAAACAAAGGCCGCAGCACGGCAAGAAACACACACACACACAAACAGCACAAAATTGCCCTCTGGTGAACTTCTTTTTTTTCTCGGTTGGCAGCTGAGATGTTGAGCATTTGTCCTGGCTACGCACGCTATTGTGGGCTCAAGCAGGGGTTTGTTCAGTCTGCCAGAAGGAGGCACCACTTAGGACTTGAGGTTGGAGCCGGCTTCTCGTACTCTCAGATTTACTTAACTGATGGTCCACCCCAATCTGAGCAAGGACAAAGTTGATGCGCAATGGGCAGAATCTCGTTACCCGTTGCCGACACATCATGGCCTGGTGGCACAAAGCAAGTTTTCCCAAGCACGAAGCCTTGTTCATGCACGAAGCGCCAACAAAGGTGCGGCGCATTGCCAGCTTGCACGTCAGAATTCAATGTCCGTGTTTGCGTGGGCTGCAGGCACGGAGTCGCATGTTGAACTCACTTGTGAGTGAATGCCATCCATGCCACATGGCACACATGCGTCGCGTTCTGGTTGAATGTGTGGTTCCAGGAGACTGAAGCATGGCTGTTTATGCGAGCTTGTTTGCTGATGTGTTGGGCCAGGACATCGCGCTTGGTCCCTTTGCTTGTCTCAGATTTGACGTTGCGCGAGTTCTCCGTCAATAGGCCAGCTGCATGCTGGTACAAGAAACTAGTTCTCCTTCCAAAAGATACAATCCCTTTGGTGGTGACACTGCCAGGTTGAACGCACCTTCAGAGAAGGATGACCTTGCGCCTGTGAGTATGATTCGATTTGCGGGCCAATTCAAACAATATGGGGCTAAAGTTTGTCATGAGCCATTAATGTGTTTCTTTGGATAAGCAACATCAAAGCATGCGCCAGCAAAATCAGAAATGCGTTCTGAGTTGACTCAGTACAAGTAACGATACTCACTTGGAAGTGTTGGATTCTTCAGCCAATGCAGCCGATGTTCTGAATTTCCACTGTCCATCCGTTCTGAATCTTGAGCTCGGAAACGCCCCGTTGAGCGGATCTGGAACTCCCATATTGACATTGACATCGACTGTCTCCAATTGGGCGGGGGCCTTCCATTCAACGTCCCCAGTCTTGTCAGCAATTCGAGAGCAAGCACCGCGCTGTTCCGTGATCTTGCTTTCTCTGAATGGGTTCCCTAAGTAAATGAGCTTGGCTTTCTTGGTATGGAGTTTGGCACATCGGCCTAAGTACACCTTGGAGGCCCATGCCCATTTGGCTTCAGCGCCGCACTCAGATGCACGCTCATTGCAAGCACTTGCAATGGCCATCACTCATTGGCATCACTGGGGTCAAAGGTGCGGTTCGGAGCCGGGATATCAAGCGAGGTACTGTTAGCACTTGTTTCAAGGCATTGTTGCGCAAGAAGGTAGTACATCTGACAATTTTTATTGGCAGACTTGTTTTGTATTTTGTGCATTCTTTCCTGCGCGCACTTCTCTGAGCCTGATTCAGCCTTTTGAGCCTCTTAGCTGGTGTGTTCGCTCGAGTTTTGGGCCCGAGCCAGTGAACGGGCGGCGCGGACATGGGTCCGGCAAGGCCGGGGGCAGGCGGTGAGTTGTCCAATGAACACGGGGTCCACAAACCCCACAAAGTGACTTGGTTTTGGAACAGGATTGTGGGATCAGGGGGTTTATCCCCACTTGTGTGATCCAAGAAAAGTCTCCCCCTTTGGGGGTTCGTCTTTGGGAAGCCCTTTCTGTTGTATCACACCAGTGGTCATTTCCCACAGCCATGTTTTGGAAGTTTATAACATCGATGTCTACCATTGGGGGTTGATTTGATCTGCTTGAGCTCCTGCCTCGCAGGGGTTCGTGATCCGGAAACTGCCAGGTCCGTATTTGTCGGGGAGGAACACAAGAGACAAATCAGTCCCAGCCGTTTGGTAGCATGTCGCATGAATTTCCCAAGTTTGGGTCCCATGCTAAGGCAAGGGGGGCTTGGAGGAACACCCCCTTGTCAAGGGGGCGGGGCGTCAGACAAAAGCGCTCAGAAACAAGTCGGCCCGAGAGCACAATGTGTGAATAGAGAACTTTGATCAACCAGCACGCTGCACTGTGCTAGGAGGTTTGCACTTCCTGAGATGATGTGTTAGCAAGTTGGAAGTCTGTCTACTGCGAAGTAGGGCCTACGGGTCACGTACCAGTTGCAACCAATCTGTGAATTGGTTGGGCTGCTGGAAATCGGTTTGCCAGTTGTCGTGACGCATATTATATTTTCAGGGGATCTGCAGCATGTCAATAACTTCTTACAGGCTGTGGGGAGAGGCGGTGGGGGTGTTCAAACTGTGGCCCTGTGTGCACTTGTTGTCCATGATGCGGTACATGGATTTCGGGTTTGTAATGGCATCGTGATTGTGTTTTATCCGCGAAAAGCTTGTGGCTGATATGCAAAAGAGGGTGCTATTATGTCGCCTGTAGAAAGAATGTCGCTGTCCTGATTGAACCGCGAAATGTTGCCGCCGAAGAGGCGTGCAAGGCGAATTATGTGGAACTGCCCGTACTCAGCACCTGCATCTCCAGCCGCGTGTTTGTTTGCGAGTCTCCCTTGACGGTAGTTGGGCAGTATTTCACTGCGTAAGTAGTAAGAACAATAGCACGGAGTCATTGCCAGGCAAACGCAGAGAGCTACGCAAGGTTGGATTGCGGTTCTCTCTTTTTGATTTAAGAAAAGGCTTTGGACCGGATATGTCTTGTGAGCGCAGTTCAGTTCAGCTGGCTTCGTGCTTGGCTTGTTTGAACTTGTCCGTCAGTCGCGCGCTCGGTTGCTCGGTCACCGCCAGATGAGCATCTTGGGCGGCCCTTTGCTGGAGGATGCAGAGATTGAGGACGGTTCCGTGACGCTTCAACCAATCGAATTCAGGTATTACTGCTTATATTTGCCTTCCTACTGGATGATTGCGATAGAAACCGACAGACAACCATCCACTGTCGTTTGGCATGAGGCAACAATAACACAGAACCGCAGCCATTAATTTCAAGGACAATCACCAAGTACACAAACATGGTTTTGGGAGCCGCAAGGCTGCATATCAGTACAGTATTGACAAAATTGACGTTTGGATGCCTGGAGCATGCCGCCTGGAGTATGCTTGAAACGCTCAACCGTGAACGAAACTGTTGGACTTTCTGTGCTGCTAAATCAAGTGTCCCAACGAGAATGTTGGCTTGATAGCTGGCTAGTGACCATTTGCTAAGGTTTAACCTTCAAGCATTCCTGTATTCCTGGATGATCCCTAGTCCCAAATAATGTCGTTTGCTCTGTTAAGGCAGTGCGATACCAATACACGGTTCCCGAGCATGCGCTCCCAAAAGTGAACGAAGCTGAAAGACACTTGTTCATGAAGTAACCATGATGGGGGATCGGATTGTCAGCGGGCCTCCTGCCATGAGAAGCCAGGGTGGAGGCAGCCATGCCTTGTGGTTGTGGAGACGTTCTAGAAACTGTCAATGAGGTAACAACAGAACAAGTGTAGTTAAGCCTTCTTGTATGCGTTATTTTGCCCTGCAACTTGCTTCAAGGACCGAAGCTGCAAAGTGAAGCCTGGCTTGCTGCAGAAACTGACATTTTTGCGAGTGGCTTGCCCGGAGTGCTGAAATCGCGAGGAACTACTGAGGAAGTATCCGCGCTTCAAAGGTTCCTTGGAAGCACCGTGAGCTTCTGCTTCTTTCCAGTTGAGGAAGCACATGCACACCGTTGTCTCGCCTGCAAGTGCGGCTCAGGGCCGCTTGTTGCTTCCGGGCTATATACCAGAAACAAATCAGTCGTCTCCTTTTTCGGGACATAGAGATCGCTTATTACATGTCAAGAGCAAAGAAGGCCGTGCACACGTGCACCGGTGAACAGGTGGGGTCGAGCGTGGACTGCAAGTGTGCAGGGGTGACTGGGCAGTAAAGCATGCGTGCTTCCCGTGTGCGTGCAATGGTGAGAATTTACGCGCATGTGTGTGTGTGTGTGCTTATGATTTATACATGAGCGCACCGTGCTGCACTCGCAGCCAGAATTCGAACCCTTTCGGGAGCAAGCACACGGGGTACTCGCAAGTGATACAAAAGGAGCCTTGGTGTACCCTCACAAGTCTGTCTACTTCCAGTTGAGGGAGCTGCCTCTCCCACAGCACTCCTGCTGCTGCTTGGGGCGGGTGTCTGCTGGTGTGTAAGGGATGACCTGGCTAAAGAGTGAAATTGACCAGCCTGACTGATCTCTCCTGACCACTTCACCTGCAGCCTCTGACCAAGGTGCCCTTCCCCACGAAGCGCGGCTTTGGACCGAGGCCGGCATCGTCACATCTGGCAGATTCCTTTGCCAACACATGGCTTAACAGCAAGAAAACGTTTGTTGACAAGGCTCCACACATCAGAGGTTGTGCGTTTATATGCGAGTTGCTCAGGAGTACATGTTATTTACAACTTGTTAAGATATATATTTGCTGGTCGTTGCACAATGGAATCCTAATTGTTGGTGATACAAGTTGGTGGTTGATTGCTCTCTTGACATCGAAGTTGTGTTTTTCTTACGATGCATCTCGCCGCTTGGCTAAGCTTGCGCAGTGCCATGCTTCGTGGGAGCCTGGGAGCCACCTCAGGCAGAGCTGGAAACCTACCTGGCCAGCGGCGGGCAGCGTAAGCCCGCGGCTGCTCAGCCCCATTTTGGTGTTTGCTAAGACGGTTGGTTCTTTGTTGGGGTCAGATTCTTTGCAGGAAGTTGACCTGCCATAAGGCCTCTTGTTCAGGACTCTCTGTTCGGGGAGAACGACCATGGCCCACAACAGGACTCTTCAGCATGACGCGTAGTACGTGCATATGTAAATAGCCCACCTCCCCTGTTACCTTGAGTCAGCCCGATTCAATGTTTATACTTGACTGCGCGTGTGCTAACGACTTGCAGAGTCCCCGCACATTCTCCAAGGACCTTTCCGACAAGAAGAGCGTCCCGCTGAACTGCGGCTTGCTGACAAAAGCCAGGCCCTTCCGCAGCTTGGTGAAGCTCTTTCCTCCTAAACCAGGTACTGCAACTTTTCCAAGTCCCTCGGAAACCCTTTGTCATGGAACCTGGCAGTGGGTTCAGCGGCGTCCAACTGTTCTTCCTCCGCTCCTTGAAAAGCTGAACGGTGGCGAAGTACACCAAAGCTGTCAGCAGAGAATTGACGGGGCAACAGAAGAGCTGGTCTCACATGGCCGAAGAGGATAAAGAACTGTTTGTTGTTGAGTGGCATTTGGATGGCTTTGAAAGCGGTGCGAATATGTTTCCCTCCGATTCTTGTCAAGCAATGGTGGCCATTCTTGACCCACCTCAGAGCTGAAGCATGGGATCGCACAGCTGCCGTGTCTTCTGCAGGATCAACAGAGACACAGACACAGAGAAGCATAGAGAAACATAGCCACACGCACTCGCACAGGCTTTCAATCTTGAAGTTGCATTGCAATCACACAACAGTTGCCAGAACCATAGACGGTAAGGCCTTCAGGATTCTTGAGATGTGTTGGCCGATGAGGACAATTCCCACGGATTCGGAGCCGACAGGTTGAAGCTGGCCGAGCTGAAGGTGGAATCAGCCACCTCGGAGCAACTGCGTTGCAAGAGGCGGCTGGGCAACTGGGTAAACTCATAGGCTCGCAATGTCTAGTTCCCACTCAAGTGTAGACCACAAGGGAATGACGGTGATCTGCCAATTTGTCCAGGCCTCCTGTTTTGTTGTTTATATAAATTGCCCCCGCCTTTTTGAGTTCGTTCCTGAAACCGATGTTTTCATGATGTCCTGAAATTTGACATCACCACTCGCACAACAAAGAGGGACTTCCTTGAACATTGACTCCCCAAAAAAAGAGGACTACTCCGCTTGCGAGAAACACAATGTGTTCTATCAGTGCTTCCAGTGCACAGGGTTTGCTAAAGCTTCGCTGCACGAGAAGCTGGTAAAAATCGGAAAATTGTTCCAGTAGCCGCAAAGGTTTCTCAATCTTGGGTGAAGATCATGTTAGGAGAGTTGTTTACAGTTTTTATTTGGAGCTCAGATTTAGGTCTTGCCGATTCTGCTTCTGGACTTTTCTCGTGTGGCCTCAGAGCTAGTTGCATCCTTGCATCCTTTGACTTGCGAAGCTGGAGGCTCAGATGGAGTTCCCGTTTTCTTTGTTAGTGATGGGCAATGTGTCATATCAAACAGCACGGCCAAAGGCCACTTGAACTCACCTGACCCCGAGGTATGTTTCCTACTGCCGACACAGGCGGGATGCTGCTTAGCATGCAGTGCGACCGTTGTCAAGATCCAAGTTTAAGAATCCCCGCAAGGATGTGTCAAGCGCTGAGTGACCAGCTTGGATTTGCGATGCATGCAAGAACAGTCAGTAGGTTTGGCATGTCGCAGAAGGACATTTCCAGGAGGTGGGAACAGAAGGCCAACCCGCTTTCTTTTCTTGCAGGACCATCGGGAGGGGGGAGGTGTGCCGAGATGGCTTACTTCCTCTGGCCCGACAGAAACGAACCTGCACTGACCTGGCAATACCTTTACATGACGGCAGCAGTTCGTTCAGCGTCGAGCACGCGGTTTGCCAATTGTTGACATTGGCCAACATTGAATGATGGCAGACGGCTTCAGGCATTGGAAGGAATCAGTAAAACGAGGAATGCGAAGCGCTGACGCAGGCAACAGAGGTCCAACTTCTGCAGTTTGCCGGATGCAGCCTCCTGCAGCCCCGTGCAACGCGTTCGCCAGGTGGGCCGTTTGGCATGCATATCCTTCGGTGTTCTCCGGGAAGCCCAAAGGAAACCACACACAGCTTGGAGGGGCCCCTCATTTGAAGCTGAACCACATCCCCTTCTGCCGTTTGTTGTTTGTTTGCTTCTTGCGTGAAGCAAGCAGGAAGCTGTAGAGGTAGGTCAAGATGGTCGCTTGCGATTGCCTGTTGACTGGCTTTGTTTGAAAACACAAGCCGTGGCATCGTGACCCTTTCACGTCGGGCCGAATCAGGTTGGCTGAATGCTGCAAGCAAAAGCCACTCTTGTTGACAAGCCGAGAAAGTGGTGGTCTAAAGTTTCTATACAGCGTGTTGTCGTTTTGACCAGCAAATACGCAATTGAGTCACCACACCCAGATGCCTCATGAATTGGCGTAGTCTGGGGGTCAAGTTCTACTCATTTGCATGTAATATGCTGACGGCTTTTCAGCAGGGTGCTCTTGGGCTTGCGTCTGCCAGGTGTCTGGGGTCTTGACGCAGCCAGTGACACTGGTGCCCAAGCGCGGCCATGATCCCATCTGGCGGGGCTGGGGCATGAGCTTCTGGAAGGACGCGACGCGAGTCAGGGTCATGGTCGTTGCTGGGAAACATTTTACTTTTTTGCTTATTGTGGTTTAGTGGGAATTCCCCACTTAACTGCTAAGATTCATATTTTTGCTCCCCTTCCAACGTCAACCAAGGTGCGTCAAGCACGAAAACTGCTTCAGGCCATGCTTGCTTAGCACATGAGACCCAGGGGAGGGATCCTAGAGGTCACACAAGTCGATTTCAATCGGTTTTGCTCCGGCCTTTCCATGAGATCTTGATGCGCATACCCTCTCTGCAACAATCAAGGAACCTGACAGGAAGATGTGAGCTACTTTCCTTGCGAACCCTCCCTGTCCTTTTCCATTCTTGGAAATGGGGTGCCCAAACAGTGCAGGGCTCCTTGAAAGATCCCATGTCCAACCCTAATAGAGGTGGAAACCGACAAATGCATCCCGTTTTCCCCCATAGGAGGCCTGCGGCTTGGAGTACTGCAACTGCCGCACCCGGTGGCCAGCATTCGAGCACGATGAGCCAGGCCGGAAAGTGAGTCTATGTCCGGGGTCTCTGGAGAAAACCATGAAGGGCGGGGGTACCTAGTGCTTCCAGGCAAGCCACCATCGTAGGTAACCAGAGGAATCCGTCATTACTACTATAGTGGTAACTGGAAGCACGGGGTAGACACTGCCCCGGCCGAGATGTGGGTGGGTGTAAAATAGGGGCAGCCCCAAGATGGCGTTTTTTTTCCCCCTGTCAAATCAGCCAAAGGCGAGTCGCCAAAGAAGGCAAGGGCCCGTGTAGTTTGAGCATGTTGGTTTTAAGACGAGAGTTTATGTGTGGTTGGTTTGATGAGGGACATCAAGATTGGGTTCCTGATTGATTCAAACACCATTGTCTCTTCCTTTGAACTTCAGGCTTGCCAGCATTGAGGTGTGTTGAGACCCTATTACCTATGCGGCTGCTGTTTTGATTCCCTCGGTCGCTGGTTGTGGTTTCATTTGTGTTTGCTTCTTGCTGGGATTTGCGTCCGGTGCTTGTATTTCTTCAATTTTCCCTGGTGTAACAGAGAATCGTTGTATGGGTTTCTTTAGACTTCTTTAGAGTTGACTTTCACGTTTTGTACCTAGCTGCTGTCGTTTCCACCGCATTCCATAGCCTCCTTTGCTCTTGTTTTTGCTGTTCCTTTGTGCAGTTGAATGGTCAGTGGCTGCTTCTGCTCTTGACTGGGTCGAAGCTTGCGGCACTGAGGTTTCGGCGCCCCTAAGCAAGGTACCGTTCCTGCCACGCTGCCAGCACTTGGACGAACGGCAAGAGCTTGATTCGACGTCAACCGCTGCCCAGACGTCGACGACGATGTACATGCAAATAATCCGGCCCCCTTGATTGAAATTGAAACGGTGCCCCCTCCACTCGGGGCGCCTGTTTCAGATCCGGGCTGCCAACTCCAGTGTTGTTCACTTCTTTTGGGTCCGGTTATGTTTGGGTCCCTAACAAGACTTGAGGAGCGGTCGGTGAGAGAAGCCGCCGGTGCAGTATTGGTTTAGAATTAGCCTATTCCAATTTAGTCTCGGGCGGCCGGGGTGTCCCCCCACTCCTCTGTTATCAATGAATTGCATGAAGATCTCTGCGGCAGGCATAGATGGGATTTGCATTGAATCTGGCCTCACAGAGTACCTGGTGCCTTGGCAAAGCATATTTATACGCTCGGGCCAACGAGCAGTGACCACAAGCTGGCAGCCATTCAGGCGAGGTTCGCACGGGCAAGTGACGTCCGTGCATTGATGTTTTTCAGTTTCTGTCACTGACAGCGTCAGCGCAGGGGCAACCAAGTCCCCCCTTTATGCTGGTGAAGAAGCCCCCCAGCCAAAGCACTGTAAAAGGATACTGGACCATGTCCTATGCAATGACATCATCTATGCTTGATCAACTGTTTTTTGTTCTTCTACTTGTTTCTTCTTGTTTTTTTCCCCGAGGCCTGAGGCTTTCTTATCTAATTACTGCTTTGTGCCCGTGAACCTGGTAATTTGAGGTCTTAGTGTGACGAGTGCAGCAGCCAGCGCAGCTGTGAGTGGTTTGCATTGAGTCGAACTGCACCGGATCTTGGGTTGTGAACGAGTTCACTTGTAGTGCCCCCATGCAACATTTGACGTTTCCAGTCGGGGTTGTGTACGCCCATTCTGGGCAGCAGCCAATGCAAAAATGCCGCTGCTGGGCAGAGCGGGACAATACAGAGTCGTGTTTCGCGACACCATCTTCATCATCCCCCATGCAGCCCAGTCTCAATTCATTCAGCCCAGTCTCTCAATTCACTCCGTTTTGGATGGCGCCAATTTGCAGCGGAATCACATTTTGTTTTGGCTGGGGATTTCTTACGAATCGTTCATTCATGTTTGTAGTGGCCCTCTTCGGGTACACCTTGAGGCTTTGCACGTTTTATATCAGGGGCTAAACAATTACTGGCCCTCCAACGACTACTGATACCGATGTCCCTACCCCTAGTGCTCACAAAGTAGAAGTCTTTGGGGGGGGGGCTGATAGATTCCCGTTCTAATCTCTGCGGGCTCTTCTACTTCATGTCTTTTCAAATCTTGAACAATCAAACAACTTCTATCCTTGGTTTCGAAGCAAATGACCACATATTCGTTATGCCTCAGGAGTACATGCTGGTGGTGGAGCTTCAAGACCCGGCCTGCATGGAGGATCAGGCCATGGCCTTCCCTCGGCTGCAGGCCAGCAAACTGCGACGCACCTTTGGGGCTCAGGCCCCTGACAAAAAAAATGTGAAGACGGCTCGACTTGGTTGTTTTTTTGGTTTATGTTCTAAATCACTGGTGCTGACACAAATCAAGAACTGTCAGGGAGGAAACGGGCCAACTTCGCCTACTTATTGAACAACAAATGGCAGAGAGGGCGGTGCATGTGATTGCCTGCGTTTTGCGGATCTCTGAAGAAGCCATGAGATTGATGGTGAGGAAGGCTAACGTTTGGAACCCCAATCAACAAGTCGATTCAATGAAATGTGAGCATCTTTTGGTTCTGTCACGTACGCCTGCTACGTTGGCTGGTCGTGTCAAAACACACTGGGCGCAGAGAGGCGTAAGGGTGAGCACAAGGGGACTTAACAACAAGACCTGGCACGTAAGGTTTCTACAGCAGCAGTATATTTGACCAGCTTCAGTGCCCTGACTATAGTCAGGGAGGCCGAACGAGGCAGATGTTGAACGAAGTTCTCAACCAACGCTTGATACGTTAAGCAACGCCAAGCTCTCACCTTTACGCTTCTCCTTTTGGCAGATATTCCTTTCAGACTTTCTCAGAGATCGGTAGCTGTTTGCCGATCTGGTAGAGTGCCTCAGCAACTGCAGATTGTTTGTCATGCTGGACTGAACATGTTGACGTTTGCGCTAGAAACAGCATTACCGGGCAGGCTTGGTCAATGAGATACTTTGTCAGGTCGGAGCAGGCACTCACGAGAGGAGGGGATGTCGTCGACAGAAAGAGGCATTTGTTACACAGGCCGCAAGCGGAAACCTGATGTCCCGAACCATTTGACACACGAGAAGAGTGAGAGAGAGAGAGAAAGGAAGAAAGACAGACGGACAGACAGACATAGAGAGAGAGAGAGATAGAGAGAGAGGGGGGGGGCACTGGTTCCTGACAACTCAGTCATGCGCCAAGGGGTACATGTCCCAACAATGCTATTGCTTGCGACCCCTGTGAACGGAGTCGTGCATTTTCACACATGGGGGTTCAGGGGTGCTCATTTGCTTGATGCGCGTGCCCGGTCAGGTTGGGGACTTTTGTCCCTTCATCACCTCCTGCAGTCGAAGCTCGGAAGCAACGCAGCATCAGCTCTGCACGTCTCAGACCGAACAATCGTGCTTGGCTCTGAGGCAGTGTTAGGCCAATAGTAGGATACATTTGGGTCACCCATACTGTCTGTCAGCACACTTCAGTAGCTTCAACTTTCTTTTTGTGGGTGAAGCAGAATTTAAGTGCCAATGGCTGTCTTTCAAAGGTTTTCTTACCCGCCCATTCTTGCCCCTTATACTATGCGTATGTTTGTGCAGCAAGTCTTTTTGAGCCACTGCTGGGTGGGCCTTTCCAGATACATGTGTTCGGTTCCGTGTGGCGTACTGACCAAGGCTTCTTTAGGGACCACTACCACGCCTGGTCTCCTGGCGTAGAGGATCTTACGCTTCGGTGGTGTCAGACGCTCGGCACCCCAAACCAGACAGCGGCAGGAGGCAGGGCGTTTGAATGGATGAGGCCTGATTGGAGTCTACAGGACCCTTGTGGAGGTTTCCACCTCAACCATAGGTCAGCGGTGCCATGGGATGAGTTTGTGGCATTACCTCTTGTCCGGCAGGAGTTTTAATTATAGCCGCAGGTGGATCACAATAAATGTATGCAGACTGGGGTAACTGCGCATGCGATCTCAAGTCTCCAGTTCTGCTGTTTGCTTGATTGCTGACATTGCGACGATGTCATTTTCAGTTGTGAATGTCTCCAAATAGTTATAGGGTGAAACCGATGGCCCAATCTATACATGTAGAGCGTCGACCCATTTACCCACCAGTTTCAAGAAAGACCTACTTTCGCACCAAGCAACATAGTGCCGATAATTTGAAGGTACGTGCTACTCAGGTGATGTATTGCTTGTGGCCCCCTTTGGCTCCACAATGAAGGAATCCAAGTATATTATGCAAGTGTGAGTGTACTAGCCACCTTCAACCGCTTGTGCCGGGCTACCCCTCGAATGACTTTGTTGACATAGAACCATGGCCAAGAGAGCCATGGGAATCGGGAAGCTTATGGCCCTCAATGGTCCTTAATGGCCTCTAAAAATCACCATTACTCATTAGTAGCTCGTAGTCACTATTGGGCTGCAATGGCTCTCCTTGTTATAGCTCTGAATCAGTATAGGTATAGGAATAAAAATCGCATGCGGGCACTGATGCCTTTCTGCCGTGCCACATGGCCGCCCTGCCCAAGGATCTACGCCGCCATTTTCGAGCAAGACCCCCTGCTGCAGCTGCCTGACCACTTGTCTTCCGAGACATTGGGCGAAATAACCGACCAGTGTCGGCTTGACAACAACCTGGGTTCATGTTAAGGAACCGGTCAAATTTGCGGGTGGTGCGTTCAAAAGTGCAAGACCCTTCCACATTGGTGGTGTGTCTTACTCAATTTCCTTTAGGAATGAATGGCATCACAGAACCTTGCCATTTTGACAGGTGCCCAAGAATTGTTGTGCAACCGCTGCGCGTGTGGCTCTACCTGGAAGTCCAGAACAGGAAGTTAGCAGTCGGGTGTTCATGCCTTTTACGTAGTTGGGTCTATTGGCAACATTTGATGACATGCCTTTACCGAAGCTCTTGCCGAGCTATCTTAGAACTCTTTAGGCAGAGGCCATTGATTCAGCGCTTGCTTCCGACTGTTCAGGATGTGGCCTAGCCTATGATGATTTGCGACTTGCATCGTCCCTCTATGATGACTAGGCCCTTGCCTATGCTCTGATGGTTGCTGACACGTCTTCCATGATTTCTCAGGCAGTCTGTATGCAATGTTGTATATCTAAGCAGCTTGTTGTTCGACCTGGCATAGAGTCTTTCAAGCTAACATGGAAAGCTGTTGGAAAGGTTTCCTCTGGACCGCAAGTCTTTGGAACTTCAATGTCAGCATGGGCGAGAGCCAGGACCAAAGAATTGTTCATGTGCAGGGTTTTGTTTTGGTCGATGGGCTTCTCCCCTTGGGCCCTCCCAGGTTGGCACAGTTTTACAGACTGCATTTCGGCGTGATAGGCGCGGAACTGCCCACATGAGCCTTTTGTTTGGGGATCGGGGGCCTGCAATTGCCAGGCACAGACTTGCTTGCACGACTGAACAGTACAACTGTCAGTGAGTGCCTAAGGGTGGAGAATCAGAGGACTTGCCGGGAAGATGACTTTTTGTGAAGTGTCGCCATCAACAACTAAAGGCTTCCTATATGAGTAGCACGTGTCTGTGTGTGTCCCAGTTCTATGAATAAGTTGTCGTCGCCAGACAACGTGATTGACAGTGCATGCAGCAAGCCAACACTGTGGGCTTGCTGGACCGTTTAGACAACCCAGCAGCATGCAGAAGAAACGCAGGCAAGCATGTTGTCCTAAATGACATGCATGATATTGCCGTTATCATCCTGCGTACTTTAGCGCCCTGAACAAAGGAATCGCTTCACGCCCTCCGCAACTCACCACCGCACCGCACCACCACTGCTACCCACAGCCCACAACCCCGGCCGCTTCTGGCGGCCCGCGCCCGGCAGGCGCCGTGAGCCGACTGCACAAGGCCAACCACCAGGCCTCGGAGTGGCTGCTGCAGCTGGAAGGCCGGCTTCACTTGCAACTGGCGTGCAACTGGCGACGGGGTGATTTGTTGTGACTCACTCTTGAAGTCTTGGAACCCAGTGAACTTCATGAACACTTCAAGCTTGGCATGAGAGGAATTTGGCACACTGGGCTGGAATTCAGACCTTGTTTGGTCGAAGTGTCTCCTTTGAGGCTTGAGACTCCAGGCACCCAACTCGTTAGCACCCAAGAGTGACTCGATGGGACGTGTGATCAAGGATGAAAAAGGGGACATGTGAGAATCCAAGATATCAACTGGCCTGTTCTGATGGTTGATGGCGTTGAAACTACTGTATGCGACGCCATTTGCTCACCTGCCCCACACATGTTCGGTTTTCACGTTTGTCATCCTGGATTTATGCACTCCTGCAGCTCCCGGGAATGTTGCTGATTGCACGGGGCATGTTTGTCCATCCTCCGGCTCCATCCCGCATGTGTGTGTGTGTGTTGTGTGTGTGTGTGTGTGTGTGTGGGTGCGTATGTGTGTAGTGTATTGGTAGTGCGTTGACGTAGAAGGCATGGCAATGTTTGCTGCCGCAACTGTCACCGCCGACGCCACTGCTGCCGCCGTCCCCACCGCTGCCAAGTTGTTTGGCGTTGCTTTTGGATTCTGGCAGGTTTTTTTTCTGGTTGTTGATTGTTCAAATTGTGTATGTTTGTGTGTAGCCCCTAGTGTGATGCAGCCCAGCATTGACGCGTTGAAACATGTCGAGGCCAGCGGCTCTTTTTCCTCTTCCCACCAGAGGATGGGGAGAACCTCTACGAGCTCCAGGGTGACTTCGGCCAAGGTTTGCCGATGCTTGTTGTACAGATCTTCAGTCAATGGCCCTACGTTGGTGTTCGCGTTTTATGCCAGAGGCTAAAGGTCGTGGTGCTGTCATTTATATATAGTTTGGGACCCCAGTTGGGCTACAATGTACTCTTCAAGATTCAGGCGAGCCCATGCGGAAGTAGCCATGTCACATTCTCAGACGGCGTGAACATGTTTGAAGATTCATCCATATAGGCCCCGATCGGCAAGGGGGAGAACAAATATGGCTGCGTCAAGGGGCTTTTTTCATGATCAGTGCGTCAGGGGGCCCCAAATTGGACGCTTGTTTGAGGTACACGCAAAGAGCGAGCAGTCTTGCCAAGTCTAGTTTGCATGTCGCAACGGGGTGTTCTGGGGCTCTATTTGTTGACCAAAGGACCAATGGGTGCTGCAGTCATTGAGGTCAATCTTGATTATTGTCTTTCAATGGCTGTTGCTCAATAGATGCTGACGCACGCTGACTGGTTGGCGAGTTGCAACAACTAAGCACAGCATGGCTGCGCTTGTTTGTCTGATACATGTGAGCCATTGCAGACCTGTGGCCTTCCTTATTTGATCTTAAGCTAGTGCAGTAAGTTATTTGAGTGTTGTGGCATTCTTGCAGATATTTCATTGCCGGTTGTGAGACCCACCCAAGCCTTGTTCATTTCCACAAGAAGTTGCAGTTGATCAGGGGCAAGTGACGTTTGAGCCCAGGCCGGGGGCATTGATGTGCTGGGATTCAAGCAGTAAAGTTCCCAGGACACCCGAACGATTTTGGGAATCCAGATCTTGAACGAGCAGTGCGTGCCCCAGTGTTGCCCCATATGTTTGTATGTTGTTTTAGTTGCCATTCATGGTTATCAAAGGATGCCGAAACTCCCCGAAGAAACTCCTTTTCCCCCTGTGCTTCCTGGAATCTTTGGGTCGCTTGCTTCCGAGTGGGGGCATCCATGGGCATCGCCGCATCGCCCAGCTTCCGAGTCGATTCGCCCAACGGGACACCTTTGCCCTGTGGGTCCCCCACTCATTTTTTTCCCTCGAAAGGGTTCCGATTCCCTTCTACCCTACCGGGCACCTTTTTCCCCCCAAAACATGAGCTCAGGCGGCTACGACGAGAGCCGCTCCGACGGCAGCTTCGGCTTTGCCGCTTCCTGCAGTGAGGTGAACGTGTTCTTCCCGAGCCAGCAGCTGGGCTGGGGCCTTCACAAAGGCCTTCCTTTGTTTTCGGCAGGTTCTTTCGGGCCATTTGGACATTGTATTTGCTTTGCTCTGTCGGGATTCAAGCTTTCAGGATCAATTCAATTCGCAGGTCTACACGGTAGCAAGGTGGGATATGGTACTCACACGCATATACCTTTTCTGGGAGAGAAGAGGGATACACCAGGTCTGAGCTCGCAGGTTGTGAACACATTTGAGCCATGCGACAAGTTTTCCATTTTTGTTTGATGTCCTGCCGGGGTCGGTGCTGTTTAAGAGCATCGCTTCAAAATCTACCTCATGTCGAGCAACCTTTGTTCGGTCGGCTGCCAAGACCAGCTTGCGATTGAGGAAGCGGCACCCACTCTTTTCCAAGTGCAACGTGCAAGTGTCCTTGCTCGGCGAGGGCAAGACTCTTGTGTACCTCGGCACTGGGATCCGGCAAAGCAAGTGCACGGTGTTGAATCCATGATGTGTTGTGCTTGTAGGTCCTCTATGACTTTCAGTGGCAGGGTTGAGGAGGGTGGTAGGATGACAAGCCGTCACATGGTTGGTTTGACACATACCCTGATCAAGCCTCGCCCAATGCTTTCTAGGGCTGTGGGCAGGCACTTGTTCGAGCCATATCTTACCATCCACTAGCTCAAGCGACACAGACACCGCGGACATTGCAGTGTGAGTTTCGCCCAGGTCGCAATGCTCACAAGAGACCGTCCGGCCAGTTTTGGCAGTTGAAATCCTGCAGCTGGCGTGTTATTTGTTCCCATCTCACCAAAGTGTTCACAACAAGTGGACCCATCGCTTCAATCTCACCAGGGCTTCCATGTTTTGCTCTTGGTATGGTGTTCTGGCACCAGTCAGGTGGTGATGTTGTCAACGTGAAAACCCAGAGGAAAGTTCCGTGCTTGGGGGATACCCACTTGCAAGGTCAAGGTGGTTGCGGAAGCAACAAGTATTTTCAGCACCTCAAGCGAGTTTGGGTACTTTAAACAGAGCTGGCTGCCAATGCCCAGGATCCCACCTGGCTGGTGGTGGTGTGCGGTGTGCACCCAGCCATCCGTGACGATGCACCACACCTACTGGGGCTTCGAAAACAGGCGCCTTTCAGTGGCTGACCAGGCTTTTGTTGGAAAGACATGCTGCATGCTGTTTGTCGTTCGCTACTTGCTGGTTGCATATGGGTTGTTGTATGCTGTTTACTGTGAGCTGCGCGTTACATTGTGTGCGCGGCATGCACTTGCAGTGTGTTTGTTTGCTGCAAGCTTGTCTTGTTGCGTCTTCCAGACCCTAAGTATAATTGGTGGCAGCTGCATGTCGTTTGCTGTATAAGGGTGTTTGCAGAATGTTGTCGAGCAAGGTGCTCGCTGATGCTTGCTGCATGTATTTTGCTGCATGGCCTGCACTGCCTGCATTGCCTTCCGTATTTTGATTGGTGATTGCTTGCTTTGCTTTGCTTTGCTTTGTCTCGCTTGCTTCTTCTGCCTAGATGTGGTTTGTTGCATGGTGATGTTGCCTGCCACATTCTTTGATAACCACCCGCATGTTCGTGAGCATGTACTTATTGACAGGCCATGCTCAATGCAGTTGTGTGCTTTACCCTATGGCCCTGGGATTTGCTGTTTGGTGTATTGCATGGTATGAGTTGTGTATTTGCTGCTGCAGTGCATGTTTGCTACCGACTATGTGGTGTGTGTTTGTATGTGGTTTCTGCAGTTTCTTTGCTGCATGCTGCCCACTGCATACCTAGCAGTGCAACCATATTTGCACAGCCAGAGGTCAACGACTTGCCAAGCATTGTGAGGCGTTTGCCATTGATTTCTCCTCTACCAGAGTGTTGTTTCTAATCAGAACTCTGAGTGCCTGAGCGATGTGGATTCCACGGCAGGGCATTCGCCCCCTAAACACCTGGCTTCCTGCGCTTCCAGCGGTTTTGGAGGCTTGGATTCGTGGACACTCTGTGGGCGCCCTTTGACTCCCAGCAGACCTCTGTGGACGCTGCCCGACACAACTCATGTCGCGAGCCCACCCTTCACCACACCAAAGGCACAAGGGTGGAGCACAATACAGACTAGGCCCATGGGAGAAAGGATAGCTTGCAGGGTTTCTGTGTATGGGCGTTTCGAAGTGGTTGACCGGATATACGTGAGTTATATGCAGCCCGAATCCAGGATTGTTCATGTTCCAGCACCCTTTTATTGCCATCAATCGAGCTGCCAAAGGGCGGAGACATGGAGACTCGGAGAGACACCGAGAGTCACAAAGAAGCAGAGAGAGAGAGAGAGAGAGCGAGAAACAGAGACATACAGAAACAAAAAAAACAAAACGTAGAGAGCGAGAGACGCTCACTCGCACACGCAAGACTTCTAAGCGGCAACAGGGCAGCTATTGAAATTGCGGTGCCAACCAAACACATGCATCTCCAACAGGGTGAATAGCAAGCCCTTTCGAGAGTTCCATGGTTTATGCCATTGTAAATATCCTTGAACAGAGATTTGATTGCTCTTACGAGAATGGTTACATATCCTACGATTGTTCGAGCGGACAACATTCCTGAGAGTCGAGATCACAGGCCCACAGGTGTCCGTTACTCGTCGCACAAAAAAGTCAGCTGTGCTGCAAATGGGATCCCGGTTTTGGATGGTGTCCACAGGGGAGCCCAAAACCCATTTTTGCGAAATGTTTGAAGAGGGAATATCTATTTTTGGATTTTTTGGGAACCGCTTTTTGGGTAGAACATGAATGTGGTTTGTTTTTGTTGGGACCCGCTTGGAAAGCGGGGAAGTTTGCTGAGGCTCGGAACTCCATGCGCCCGGCCTTCGCGGAGCTCCGGGAGGCACTGAGGAAGGACGACGGCCGCCAGGCGCGACTCGCGAGTTGGAGCGACTTGCCGTTTGTGTCGGGTGGTTTCTCTCCTGCTGGAAGGTTGCCCAATCAAATATAAGTATATTAGGTCGACATTTGGGGGAGGGGGCACCAATATATATATATATATATATATATATATATGGCTGTGGGTCAAAACCAATGGTACCATTTTGGGGTAGGTGCACCACCCAATTGAGTCTATCTATGTGGGAATTGGGAGGTTTACCGGGGGTACGAGATTTTGACCCATGGCCACATATATGTATATATGTTCCAGGCCGTGGACCCCCCCCCCCCCCCCCCCCCCCCCCCCCCCCCCCCCCCCCCCCTGTGGGGGTGGGGGGGGTGGTGGGGTGGTGGGGTGGTGGGGTGGTGGGGTGGTTGGGTGGTTGGGGTGTGGTTCGGAGTTGGTTTAGGCTTGGTGGGTTGTTGGTTTAGGGTTGGTTCAGGGTTGGTTCAGGGTTGGTTCAGGGTTGGTTTGCGGTGGGTTTCGGGTGGGTTTGGGGTTTGGGTTGATTTAGGCTTAGGGTTGGGGTTAAGGAGGGGTTGCAGGGTGGTTTGGTTTAGGGTAGGATGTTGCGAGAGGTGCGGGGGTGTTGGTTCACGGGGTGAAAGGGGGAGTCTGGGACCGAAGCTGCAGGGCTCACACGGTACTGGACAGCATCCCCAGCATTGCCAGCATCATCCCCAAGATGCGGATGATGCGGGGGAGTGGGGGGACCATACCATTGGGGGGGGGGGGGGTACGTGGCCCAGGGACTGGTACATATATATATACACAGGAATATGGTAGTTAAGTGGAGCTGGAGGTGTTGCAGGTTGCCTTTTAGCACTTGGAATGGGTCCGGCAGGACTTCCTGAAGGGATAGGAATCGTCTTTGAGGGCGGTGAGGCAGTCAAACGGTACCCCTTGGAAATGCTTGATGGTCAGCAGTTTCGGAGGACGAAGGTCATTCATTAGCGACCATTCATTAGTGAGCGAAATGTAGTAGTTGGCCTGGGACGGGGGAGCTGCGAGGAAGGGTATTTTAATCTGCCCTGCTGGGTTTGATCCGTGTTTTTTCGATATCTCCTGGGCATTGGCAGTGGATGATTCAGTGTTCCTGGAAATGGACTTTTCTGTTGTATGATCGAACCTACAATTCATAGAAATTGAGACTGGGGAAGCAACGGCGGGAACTAATCATGAATTGATTCTGCCATGGCATGTGATGCTTGAACGGTCAAAACGTCCCGATTCCCATCAATGACTTGCATCGCTTTCTTGCTCACTATGAGGATCCCCGCGTGGTGAGGAGACCCGACGAGCACCCTTGCCCACCGAGGGAAGAGACAACCTCATTCCTTAGCTGATTCCCATTTACATTGACATGAAACCCCACAGGGGGCCATCTTGCAGAGGAGATTCGATTTGAGGGTTCCGTGTCAATGAGGAGTCTATCATCTTGAATCTTGCTGGAAACCATTGCCCCAAAGAATGCGCAATGGCTCGCTCACCTGGACTCGACTCGTCGACAGAATCCAGCTGAGGACTTGGAGCAATTGTTGGGCCATTGAGCACCAGTGACGCTTGGCAAAAAGGACGAGTCTTGGCGCGGGAAACCAGGAACATTCCGTGCGAATTTCTCTTAGGCTGGTGAAGCTGCTTGTGAAACATGCAATTGTCAGGGATGGGAGTTCAGATACGAGGAGCGTGCAGAGTGGAAATGTTGTGACAACACTCATTGGAATATATACATATATATGTATATGTCTTAGTCATATGTGCATCCCAGTCATTGCCAGATGACCCAAGCCACCAGTCCCCAGACTGCTCCAGAATCTGGCACCTGGTCAGCTTGGGCTCAAGTAGGTTTGGGCAATCGGAGTATTGGCGATTCTGCTTCGCTACATAGTTGAAACTTCTGAGCCGTTCCTTGGAGGCCCATGAAGCTTACACTTGGACCCTGAATCAAACTACCCTTCCAAAAGGGAGTTCACCCCACAATGTTTGGGCAAGAACTATTTTAAAGGCTAATTTGAGGGTCCATGTGGACTGTGTGTGTGTGTGCTTCTTTGTTCTTTTGGTTTCTTGTTTGGGAGTACCTGCACCTGTCGTGTAGACTCTTTTCTCGAGCAATCGCAGGTCCTCAGCTAGACTTGCTGGAGATTCATGTCTGTTTGTTTGTTTGCTTGTGTGCTTGCTTGTTGATGTTCTTCCTTGCTTGTCGGTATGCTTCTTTGCTTGCTTGCTTGTTTGTTTGCTTGAGTGTTTTTGTTTGCTTCTTTGCGTGTTTGTTTGCTTGCTTCTTTGTTTGCTTGTTTGCTTGTTGGTTTGCTTCTTTGTTTTTTGTGGCATGCTTCTTTGCTTGCTTGTTTGTTTGCTCGTTTGCTTGCTTGTTGGTTTCCTTCAACCCGCCGCCCGGAACATCCATGGCCGGAGTCAAAAGAGGCGTTGATTGAATGGACCCGCTTTGGGGATTTCCTTCGAAGGCATTGTCAACACCAACATTTTGGTCCATTTCGAGCGCCGCCCAACATCACGTTTTCACATGTTTTCACGTCAAGTGAAAGTGCACTCCTGGAAGGCTTATGTCCTGAGATCCCCACCTTCCCTGGTCAGTGCATTGACTGCATTTGCGGAGTCCGGAAGGATGCTCAAGGCAGGCCTTTGGGACATCCTCACGCCGGGTTGATGTTGAGAGTCAGCTGCCGAGCTGAGGATTGTTCAACCAGCACTGGTGCCGTGTGTGCATAGGTAGGTCTGTGAGTGTGTCGTGGGCAGCGGCTAAATTCCACGTGCTATGTATGTAGCTCAAGACTGGCCTTGGCAAGATGCTGGAATTTGCACTAGTTGGCCGCTGCTTCACCGTGCGCTTCGACTCAGCTAGCGAGCACCAAAAGGCAGAACTTGCGTCCGGCTGCAGGAGATGCAGGAGTTGTTGCTACGCGCTTGTTTGTTTTCAAAATGGCAGACTTAATTGTTATTGGATGTTTCTTAAGGGAAACCAACAGGACACACTCCCTCGGTTTTGAGAAACTCCCGTTTGGAAGGTCGCGCGCAATTCTGTCAACAGACACCTGTTGCATGTTAGCACCAGCATAGAGCATCTATATAAGATCAACAGCACAAACCGCAGACCGGTTCGCCGAAATCAGTTGATGCTGCACAGCTGAGCTTCCGCACGCATGGCAGGTCATTCCAAGGCTTCTTTGCACTGCACGCAGGGGAGCTTTCTCGTTCTTTCGCGGGATCCGCTATGGTAGAATACTTGACATTGACTTGCCGGCTTGAGTAATGGCAAGCGTCAGGAGCCGGATTTCGCACTTCTCTACAGCGTCAATTGGATAAATGTCTGGTGACGATTGGTGCTTTTAATACCATTTGGGCTAGGCCACTGAGGACAAAGTGGAGTACACAGTTGCCAGACGACGAAAGTTTCTCAGACCTCAACTCCAGAGCACAGAAGCTCAGTGACATATTAGATGCAAAAAAGTTAAGCGGGAGTTGTTCCAGTAGAATCCCGACTGTTTGTCAGATTATGCGCTCTGCCAATGCTTCTCGATCTGCGAGACAAAGGATAAACACGCTGAAGGGTTGTGAAGGGTTGGCCGCATTGTTGTAAGCCTGTGTGCCGACATGGGACAACACAGAGCACGGAGTCTCTGATGGTGTTTGGTGTTTTGAGAATGCAACCACCGGCCCACACAGACACACACGCGGGTACGCACTTACCCTTGAACCCTCGCACTCTAGCACCTATGCACCCACCCACGAACGTGTGCGCACCGAAATTACGGGCCAATTTTTAAATGGGCCGCGATGTAACTGCATCCGCGGAGCGGCAGCTACCTTCACTCTTCGTTCCTTTAGCACCTTTTGCGCATGGGTCAACTGCGAGAATAGCAACATGAGAAGCAAGCCATATATATATATATATATATTATACATATTGCAATTGACGATGCAGGGAACATGGATGGGGTGGTCATTCAATGGGCATCGTTTCTTCAAGACAATGTTCCTTGCCTTGCCTCGTTCTTTCGTAATTTCCAAGGCTCTTTCATACAATCTCCGTCAAGTCAATTTTTGCAACTTCCGTGCCCAGGACCATGCACATGGTCACGTCAAACTGCGAGCATGGTGAGACTGGCGATTTAGATCTTTAACAGCTTACGGAGGCACACATGCTAGTTGAAGATGATTGAACGAAGAGAGCCTTGCGTGCAGTCTTCCAAGTGTTTGCATGACACTTGTTTGCCCAGGTGCCACTCTATGAGTGCCGCCCGCTCCAGCAGTGAAGGGATGATTGCTGAACTGCTGCTCTTGTGAGCAAGTACTGTATCACATGCCTGCCTTAGTGTTCATGCCTAGGCGTTTTTGTTGCGAGATTCATGTTTGTTGTTGTTTGCCTTGGTCTTTCGAGACGGAATTCTTTCGGGCCATTGAATGTTCCTAGTGACAGCCGTTTGCTTTACCCCTAAAATATCAGCAGGACCAGCAGAAGCCCTTCAAGCAACTCTTCCTCGTGGCGGAATTGTTGTTGAGAGAGGCGTACTAGGTCTAGGTGTAGTTTTTGTGTTTGCATCATTTCCGTCAATCAATTGACAGGCTGTCTGAAATGATCGTTGAAAAGAACACAATTTGATGCTCTACATGATGGCGCCAATGAATGCGAACCTGTTTTCAGAATGAACCACATTTATGAGTCTCCAATTCGAGCTTTCTGAAAGAAACTGCCCTGCTGTTAATCTCAGCAAAATATATCAGTGCTGCCCAGATTGCAATGGTCCCACATAACTCTGATGTTTTTTTCTGGCGGCTTTATCCACCTTGGTCTTGGAAGTCAAACGAGTTGAACGAGCATGCAATTAGTTCAACGTGCATGTGCCCCGAAGGCAGATTGTGCGTCGTGGATGATGCCGTGAGGCAAGCAAAGCTGGATGTGTTTGATTTGTTTGATTGAGGCACGGCAAGGCCCATTAGCACTGCCGAAGCGAAGGTGCCACTCGAATCTCTGAAACCGCCCTGGCCCTCGCCAATTTGCTCGCTTACAGCATATTGACTCACACCATGAGACACAACACCCCACGACACTCAAACGTGCTACGCCCGCCCCTTCCCCCCCGCCTGTCATTTTGTGCCTGACCTATGCACCTGAACAGTCTTGTGGAGAAGGAAAGCGATTTGCATGGCTGCCTTTGCCTTCGCGCCGGCGCTCACTACACGTCAGGACGACGGGCATCAGAGAGTTCCATGTCCACAACTGTACACATATTTTTGGTGCGGAGTTTTGGACTTCACGTATTCCACCGGGAGCCCTACAAGAGCGGGCTGACCCGAGCTTCCTGTGCCCCTTTCCTACCTACTAGCTGCGAGCCTCCAACTCGGTCCGCCATGGCGTCCCAAGCTTCAGCAAAGGGCCAGGTGTCGGCCACGCTGCGGCCGAGGTGGGGAATGGCGCAGTGCATTCAAACCCCTCGCAGACTCTTAGGGGTTGTTCCCCCGAAAGCAAACGATTCCCTCTGAAATGGGACACCCCCCTAAATTGAGCAACCGGAAGGTCGTTGACCTTGGGTAAAAGTTTGCGCTTTCTCGAGTGTCCCTTTAAGTTCCCAATCCATGGACCGAATCACTTCCTTTCAGGCATTTACTGGAGGTTGGGGGTTTTGGAACATGAGCCAGACAGCGGCTGCGACGCGGTCTACCCCAACAACTTGGAAGTGCGAAGACCTTTGTTTGGGGACTACTGTCCTGTTCACAAGGGCCTTTTACGTATTCATCATTGGATTCGCAGAGCGGGCTCTCATGTCGTGAGAAGTCAGGTGTTTGCTGATAAAAGTTCTCAAGAAATCGGCACGGTGCTTGAAGAATGCAATCGGGCGGTTTCCTGGGCCCTTCATGATCCCAGTTTAGCCAATACAACTGCAAGTGAAAAGATGTACAGGTTTGTCAATATCCAGTTATTTTGAGGGCTAATTTAGTGAGTAGGGAAAGCATTAGGGGGACTGGCCTTTTGCTTTGTGAGCTTGTCAGATCTTCAATTTAGACCACTGGCTGCTTTTGAGAGGCTTTGGCCGTCTTGTTTGCTTAGGATCTGAACTGACAACTCTTGGAACAGCGAAAACAAGTAGTACTGGCATCCATGGGCAGAAGTATTCTCAGCAAATTGTGTAGTTTAAAGTGTCTCTCTTCATTGCTTGCATGTACGGACGGCAGACGGGGGCCTCTTGCGTTGGTTTTTCGAGGGAGCCATGTGTTGGCTGTGATGCATTGTCCTGGCAGTGGACCGCAAAGGGGGACAGTTTTTAACTACGGTCATGTTGTGTGACAAGCAATCCCTTTGTTCTGCTGAGAGTCTTGCAAATTTCTTAACTTGCCGGTGGAGTTAAGAAATCTCAGGTTTTGTCGAGACTCTGGGTGGTAAAATACAAGGGGGTCTTAACTTTGCTGTGTAGATTTCGAGGGAATCGAACATGTTCAACGGTGATTTTTGTTTGCCCTTTCGACTACTCACTTGGTCTCCCTTTCGACTACTCACTGGCCAACACCTGCAACCAGCCTAAAATCCGTCTGAAAGCAGTCTGAAATCAGTCAATTCTGGGACATGGGGGAGGGGGTCTCTGGTGGCCAAGACCATACAGGTTAGTAGCCGATGCACAAGGAAGAAAACAAGTCGCACCCAAATCGCACCCGTCACCTCAAGATGTGGCACAGAAGATGAAGCCCACCACCTGATGGATGTCCCCCAATAGTTTGGGCTCAGGCTGGGCTCAGACATGTTCAGGCTGGGTTCAGACCTGTTTCCTGGCCTCTACGCTTGTGTGAATGAGCTGATTATCCTCATGTGCTGGATGAATCTGTTCGGAGCTGGGGGGTAGTTGTTTTGAATTGACAATCCGTCACTTTGGTAGATACAAACTGCATGCTAAAACAGAAGTAGGGTTTTCGGGTGCTCCGAGGCTCTGGGAAGTTTTCTTGCTGGCCAAGCGAGAGTCTTGTTTCTTGTTTAATAAGATTTCTTAACACGCTGAACAACCGTAGGACGCTTATTTATCAGGTGTCAAGGTAGGGAAAGGGGAGTGCACATGATGACTGCATTGTTTGAGTATATGTTTGGCGGAAGGATATATTTGTTGGCTGCAATGTGGAGTGTAGGAAAGGCAGATCATGCTGTACATCGTGTGCGAGCATGTATTACAGGTATATAGCCTGCGGGGCCTCCAAAGGTCTCGTTTCCTGACGCATATCATGTTTTCGGCGTTGGTTTTGCCTGACGCAATTCCCAGCCCTCGTGTAAATCAACTCAACACACAGCAAGCACGCAGCACAGCACGTCTCTAGCCAAGTATATCGATTCCTACATCGTACGGTTTGTTCAGTTTGTTCTATCGGTGGCTTTCTTTGGCCTTCAGCCAGGCTCACTGGCATGTTACGAGGGCGCCTGTACCCCTCGGAGCGTGTGCACTTTGACATCGACCATGAGGCAATCATCCGCTACCAGGTGGGCGTAGGGTCAGGTCTGGTTGAAGCTTGCAGCCTGGCATTTCTTTGTGCCGGTTTTGCTGATTGAGTCTGCGAGAGACGGGACAACAGGGTAACTGGAATCAGCGGTGGGCGTTCAACCCTTCCGCGCATTGGACATGGGTCATGAATTGAATGGGTTTCTGGATCCATTGCAAATCAGGTTTGGACTTGTGGATCACAGTTATGCATTCGGCTTCTACCCATATATATATATATTCTTCAACTGACTCGGCATATGGTGAATCAAGGCCGGGCGAGCTACAGTTGGCTTCCACCGGCCCAACGGCGGCAGCTTTGGCTGACTCGCGTAGGCTCTGGAGAAAAAGGCCAAGACCGGGGACAAGAGCTCCGCAAAGGACGGCTTCTGCGTTCAGAAGCCGCTTGGATTTGCGAAAAGTGATTTGAACCAGGTATAATTTTAATTTGAGGAGGTGGGTCTGCGAGAGGAGCTGAAATCGCCTTGGGATCGTGAGCTATTCAGCCACTCGGGTGGCTCTTGTGTGGAAACCGTGCTGTGTTCTGGCTTTTTGCAAATGTCAGAACAGAGGTCAGGTTGCCAACAGTTGAGTGACTACCGACCAAATTGCCACGTCGACAAGTTGAGGCAACTGCGCACCAATCTTTGCGGTTTGTTCATTGTTTGCGAGTAGCAGACTTCAGGGAGATGTCTTTGCATCAAACCGAAGACACCAAAAAATGTTGGTATCAGTTTCGAAACTTTGAACCACATTTCAATGTGCATGCTACCAGCAAACGCAGCGATCTTCAAACCTTGCACAGGTTTGTGCGGCCAGAGGCACTGGCGGGTGACCGCCACGATGCCAGGCGCAGCGGGAGTTGGAGTTTGATGTGCGTGTCTTTTCTTGTTCGTACCCTCTTTGGGCAGCTGTGAAGGGCAACCAGATGGAAAATCACCCATTTGGGGATCCCCAAATTTCAACACAGACACACACACTTGAATTTGGTCTTCTCTTCTCGTTACCCGTTCCGGGCACTTGTCAAGGGCATATCATCAGTGCCATAGAATTCTCAACAGAGCACACAGTGGTATGCCTGCATTGTTTAACTGAACAAAGCAATGATTGAGATGTTGCCATTTGATCTAGTTGAAAGGGCGTTGAGAGAAGGGCATTATTGAATTGATTGCGGTGCTTGAAAGGAAAGATTGTGACACCCAAGTTTAATCCTTGCTTCTGCTGGCCCAGCTGCAAAATCGGGGACAGAAGCAATTGCATGGAAACACAGCCTTCAATACTGGTAGCTCCTACTCCAGAAGTCTCCCCGATGATCAATGGTCAACGGCACTTCGTAGGTGCCGGTTGATAGAAGCAAGCACGCAGGAACTTAACATCGGCAGAATTGAGACCCTTCGTCAGAAGGCCGCCATTGGCAACCAGGAATTCCCCATGTTTCCTGCAGTGTTTCTGCTGCAGCTGGGAGCAACAAGCAGCATTACCTTGGCGCTTCGAGTGCCGCCAGGCAGTACTTCAACTCCTTCTTGAACCAGTGCGGCAAGATTGCAGGCGATGTGCGATTTGCCATTATTCAATCACATTCGGCAGTTCTTCCGTTCCTCAGCTTGATTCCCTAACGACATGGGCAACCAAGGATTTCTGTTTGCACTGGGCAACGGGGGTTGCTTTTGCACAACATCCCTATTGCTGCTTGGGTTTTCAACTGCTTGAAGCGTTGACCTCTCTTCGAAGTTAGGAAGGAGCCACATGGTTCATGTTTCTTGTCATGCAAAGAGTGGCGCTAATATTTGTATGATTTCCCGGGTTACTCGCGGCGAAATTATGGGATGAGATGAAGGCTTCAGCTTGCAGTTGGCAGAGTATTTTCAGTTGAAAGCACAGGCGGGAAGTGCAGATGTTGACCTTTCCATTGTTCCCTCCAGCTGCTACCACACGTTGCAGGGGGGACCTTTCTGAGAACTACTTCGCTTGATGGAGGATGTTATATGCAGGCTTTTAAAAAAGCAAAACATAGCCAAGAAGCAGATGCACATTCGTACTCACCACATGGCTTATGTGAGAGTGCAGGCACAAACCAGAATTATGATCGCTAGGTGATGAAGGGGACAGACAGAGCTTCTCCGAGTTCGTGTACGACACCACTGCTGGAAAGGTGGGCGCATTTTGCTTGGCCTTGCTGTCAATTCTATGGACCATTCTATTCTGCGTTTTGTTTTGTAGACGAGACATTCTGGACGCCAGGGAACCCACGGTTTCGGGGTCATCCGACGTACGCCCGACCTGAATGCAATTTATCAGTTTGTTTTGCCGTATTCTGCGTTTCACCCAGACCCGTCGAAAAAGCTCCTCACATGTATGTCATGCCTTTTGGAGGTTCCCCCACCATCTCTTCGAGAGTGGAATGCAACAGGCAGAGACGTGAATTGTTCATCCGCTATTCCCTGAAACTGAGATTTGCAAAGGATCGGGCGTACCCATTACCTAAATAGACTTTGACAGCATGAGCCGTTCGTTGGGCCAGGGTGCATCCATGAACGAGGATGAGCAGTATGAGGCGATCAGAGAGGCCGGTTGCAATTGCTCCGTTAAGTTGAGTTGCTATCGAACTGCGTCTATGTCGTTTTGGGCCGGAAGCGCAAAGCTCATTCCTCGGGGTGGCATGGGGCCACTGAAGTTTTCCAAAGCCCGGGGCTTGCACCCCGCTCCTTTCCCCCCCTCACTGAAGGAAGAATGCCGTCATCAGTAGACGGCGGACACAATGATTTAGGGTGAGGTTTCTGTCAATGGTCAGCGCGTTCCTCGTGACGGGTCGTCAACCAGGACTTGTTGAGATTTCAGTACTAAGACCATTGCCTCGTCGAAGCCGTTCGATAAAGCCAGTTCTTTGGCCGCGCCTCACGAGACATGAGTTTTCTTGCGACGGAAATTGGGACCTTAGACTGAACCAGTCTACTTCCGGGCCGGCCAGTGGACTTTAAGTGTGTGTTTTCAGACCGTGGACTTTGTTGCAGGCGGTTCTCCGATGTTGAATTCATGTTTGCTGTGCTCAGCTCTGGGTGCAATCTAGCGCCTGTCAAATGCTGTTCATGGTTCTTTGCATGAGCATGCAATGTATTTATTATATATAATATACATAGATACACATACATGATGATGCATACACAGACACAATGATGCATACACAGAAACATAAACAGTATTTGATATGTGGAGCCACATTTGGGTGGCTTTGTTTTCAGGGCAGACTTTTCGCCTTGTTTGAAAGGGGAACCAACAGGACTACTTGGGCGGTTGCCCTATTTTGATAGGAACACATGTTTTTTAGGTGACTCATTGGCATGGCCTCTGGGATAACGCGCGCAAGGAATAAGTGTTTGATACGCAACGAGTGGGACGAGTGTGCTTCCGTGAAGTATCAAGGGTTTGGGCGCGCATTAAGCGAAAACTCTTACCGACGGGTTTCCTTCCGGCGGAAGCGGCATCCTTCCTTCGGGTGCCACATTTTTCTATTATAAGGTCATCTTCACAGAGGAGGCAAATGCCAACCCCGAAAGGGGGAACGCTCCAGAAAAACCTCGACGTCACAAACATTGCTTTCACTTGACAAGTTGCTTATCGCCGCTCATCGCTGAGCTGCTACTTTGGAAGAAGAGCCACACTATCTGGCACTGCTTGACGAGCACAGCATTCCCATTGTTTTGCTGAGTATCGGTGCCCTACGGTGCCTTGTTCAAACGGCCATCTGCAAGGGTTCATCTGGCAGGTTGTCGTGACCTTTACGAAGCAGGACTTCAGCCGGCTAAAGGGAATCGCCCAAAAGCTGCTGAGGCGTTGACCGGGGCGTGTGGGCGCAGGACGTGAAGTGCCAAGCGGTTTAGTAATGCCTGGCCCCTAAAAATAAGAACAGTCGGGGGCAACCCCAAATTGAAACATAAAAAACACGAATAATTGTAAACGCTTCACGCTGCCCGATTCGGCCAGGTGCTATTTGTCTGGGAGGTTTCCTTTGACTCATCTCCGTTCTTACTCCTTGGCCAGGCGTGGCAGCTGGCAAGAAACGATGGTGCCACGAGCGAAAGTATGAGCAGCGTGAAAGCATCCGCTTGGCACAGCCACAGTCCAAGGGCAAGGATCTGGGGCAATGTGAAGGGGGTTGCAGACTGGGGCTGGGACGCACGCTCATGCGCAGCCAGCTGCGTGCAACGGCAAGGGGCTTTGACATGAAAATATCGCGATGATCTAAAGAGGAATCTGACCGCTTCCCGGCCCTGGGAACGAGGTGATTATTATTAGCCTCCCCGGGTTTTTGGGAGGGAAGAGCTGGGTGCTTTCGAACTGCAGGGAGGTCGACCCAAAATGGAACCAGAATGAATGCCTAAGTACGGGGTTTAAGCAACCATACATAGAAAGACTGCCACAAGAAAGAAGCAACTGGCTTCAAGGGGCCTCTAACACGATTGGGGGGATCTGGTGGGACACTTCGCTGGCAGAGAATTGGCTTAGCGTCGGTCAATTCTAGTTTGGTATTCGGGACTCCTGGCAGAGAATCTGACATCGATAGGAAGAAGCGCAAGCCAGTGAATCTATTTTAATTAAGCCACCACAGCAAGCCTTTTGCTGATATTCTTTGCAGCTGCAATGCTTGCTCTTGTTTGTTCAGCGGCCCTTGTGTTTTCCTTCCAAGACTGATGTGAACATCGTAAACGACGAACGGCTAGCTATTGCTTTCTTTGTTTGATTGCTTTCCGCAGTCTTTTGAGGTCCATCAGGATGTACTTGTCCTGTCGTAAGGTTCTTGTCATTGCCAGGTATGACCGATGGCCATCCACGGAGGAGACAACTGATGGCCGTGGCAGATAGCCGCTATAGCCAGAAGCAAGAGTCATTTCGAAAGAAGATGTTGCTGATAATAGTGTCTGAGCGCCTGCTTTCATCTATAGGCTGTCATCAAGGCATGACTTTGACCTGAGTTGATAAGCAATTTTCAGTTGCCAGCACAAGCGATGTTACATGAGGGTGTTGAACAGGAATTCCGCGATTGGCTCGGCTCAAGGGCTGACTCAGACAATTTGTTTGCTTTGGCAGCCTCTGCTTTGATGGCGATGGCTCGGCTGGGCGCTTTGGTTGCCGTAACTCTTTGCTTGGCCACGGCCAGCAACGTGAGCAATGCGAGCCATTCCAACATAAGCATGAGCAACGCTAGCAATGTCAGTGTCAGCAAAGGCTCCAAGGAGCGTTCCGGGCTCAAGGTGCGTCTCCTTGACACGGTGACCATTCTGCACGTGAGCGACACCCACTCTTTGCACCGCTCCACTGGAGATTTGCCCTCCGCGGATATCTTCATCCACTCGGGGGATGTCGCCAAAGTGGGCTCGGACGGAGAGCTGGGGGATTTCAACGATTGGCTGGGCACCATCAAGCACAAGTACCAGCACATGTGCCACGGTAAAACAAGTTGCCTTTGGTGAGGGATGGTCATGAACCCCTTCATCTGGAATTTGGGCAACCATTGTAAGGGCTCGGACACATGGCGAAGTTTTGGCCATGGCACACATGCTCCTGTGTTTGTTTGGCAGGACCCACTTGTGATTGAATGATCTGTTGAATGTTCAGAGATGGTGACCACTTCCGGACCAATCACAAGCGTCCAAGGTTTGTGATCGCTGGGAACCATGACTTCTGGGACACGAACTGGCGCCTGAACCGCGGCTGGATGTCTGTGAACGTGGCTTCCGACCCGAGCTACTTCCAGAAGAAGATCTCCAATGCCAAGGTGGATGTGTCTGAATAAGGGAGATTTAATGACATGGACTTTCTAGGGCAGCACCATCTACGTAACAGATTGCAAAAGGTTTCACATCGCGGGACAAGCTCTCCTTCGTGCTGTAAAAGCAAGTCTCTTCATTTCTAGAACTATGCAAACTCACCGCAAACCGAGAAGGAGGAACACCGATAACAAGAAGGCCCGCAAGAGCTTGACACAATTTTTAAGAAGCCATGGTCGACCTGATATAAATATATATATATATATATATATACAGCATCCGTTAGCAACCAACATCCGGCAGACAAACACCTTGCCAACAAGCCTCCAACACCTTGACCCTCGGCTCCTTGAGGTGTTGAACCACGAGCTGGCAGAGGTCATGGGCCTGAAGATCTGGGGCGCAGGTTGGCAGGCGCGCCGTGGGGACTTCCAGCCCGGCAACAACTACCAGGCGCGGGTCTTGAGGGAGCGAGCCAAATGGGCAGAGTTGTTTTTGAAGGAAAGGCCTCCTCCCCAAATGGTTAGTTTCTTGTTAACATTGCGACATACTGAGGGAGCGCTTTGGTGTTGACTCGCAGAAAGGCTCGAATGCCAGGACATCCCAGCGGGTGTGGACGTTGTGGTGACGCACGAGGCCCCATTCGACATCTTCGACCATGCGGGCGGCGCCCACTGGGGATCCAGCCACGAGTTGCGAGGCGCCATCTACCGAGCCAAGCCCAAGGCGGGAATGGCGGGCAGATAAAACGCATCAGGGAGTTTCGCTACCAACCAACAAGACTATTGCAACTATTCCTTACCTTGAAGATTCCCCGAAGACCATTCCATATTAGTCCATGCGCTCTCGGCCCCTGCGAGGTGCATCTCTTTGGTCACGTCCACGAGCAGCGTGGCCACTGGGACCGGGTCGGCAATGGCTTCCAAGGAGGCGTTGAGTACCGCCCCAACCCGCACGTGAACCAGGCCTGGCATGGACACTGCCGGAGGCTGCGTGCATCGCTTTTTTTCGCAGATGTGTGTAGTATTGGCATGGTCAATGGGGCGAAATAAGCATGAAAGTGTCTTCAAGTACGTTTGGCATTCATCACGACCATTATTTCCAAAGGGTCCAGGTGCCTTGCAAGGATATATGTTTGCAGGTCTTCCGCCCCAACGGGCCTCCGCCCTCCGACTACCCGGTGGAAGTGGAGTCGAACAACGCCATGGCCAACCAGCCCACCGTTGACCACAGCAGCTGGCAGAGAAAGCCACGAGCTTTTCCGATTTGGCCAAATTGAAACTGTTTGTTCTCAACGCCTGGCCTTATGCGACTGAACACGTCTTGAACACTCGCATTGTTCCAGTGGTCGGGACTATAGTGGGATGCGGGTTGAAAGGGCCAAATGTTAGGTCGCCAAAAGGATCCCTATTCGACGGCGGGCTGTGGCGTGGCGTGGGTTTGAGAGGAGCTTGGGCCCCTTTGGATCCACGCTTTCTGCAGTTGGCTCCAACCGCCAAAGATGATAGGAAGAAGCAACAAGGCTTTGCTTTCTTCGTGTTAGTGGAGTATGTTGATTGTGAACAATTGTTCGAACCTCTTGGTTGCAAAACCTGTTCATGTCTTGCCCAGTGATGAGAAACGAAACTCGAGGATGCCACATCCAGGCTACCCTGCTGAGGCCCAAGTAACTTTCCCATATGTTACTTTCTGAAAGCAACAGCAACAACGAAATACCATTGCTTTCCCTTGGACCTGTTTGACGGGCAAGCGGATCATCGTCCGGTGGCGCTTTGCTTTCCTTTGAGGCTGGACGGGGATCTGGGCCCCTCAGCACATTGTGGGCCGTGCCCGCCTTATCACCGCCAACCGCGGCGCCGATGGATGGCACTTCCACTCCTCGGTGCCGTAAACGCGAGGCGAGAGCCGAGGCTGGAGCTGCGGGGAGTTGCCTCACATTCAAGAACTGCCCTTAGGATCCGGAGATATACCACGCATGGGTGTCGGATATGTGCCCACACATGCGAGTGGACAAGCGGAATGCCTGTGTTGCTCCTTCTACTACTTGGATCTTAAGGGGCTCTTAGAAGGGTTCTTACAATACTTGAAAGACAGCCAACCTCTCTTTTCTGGTCGGATTGATCTCCAATAAGGGGTGTATTCTCAGGTCAAAACGCGTGCAAGCACAACGATCTATCCGGCCCGCTCGAGCACCCTCTCGCCAAAGTTCCTCCCGACATGGTGCCTTTCCATCCGGACCCTCATGCAGGGTGTTTGGAGCTTGCCCAAACCAGAACACCACTCCGGCTCGCTCAGAATGTAGATGCCACGCTGGATGATTCCGCCATCGATGTCCACCGCGATGTGCGCTGTGGCATCCACCTCTTCACCAAGGTCCATCCACTTGGTTTTAATCTTCCATAAATTATGTTCTTTGGTCTTTTCCAGCCACGTCTCAAACCGTCCCGTCTTGGCCTGCCCAACAAATTTGCTCTGGCCCTTCAATACCCTGTCGCGGTACCTCGCCCATTCATCGGGCGAGGTAGTGAGGCCATGTACACGGACCATCCGGTTCTCCACGAAGTCGGCCGGTGGCTGAATGATCACCACGTCTTTCTTCTTGCCCGGCGGCACCTGCAAGAACGCTATTTTGACGTCAATGCCCGCGTTGAACCGCCGCTGCCACCACCGCTCTCGCTTGGGTAGGTGTCGGGGTTGTCGGCCTTTCCGCCATGAAGAACTCCTCTCACCTTATAGCGGACCCTCCCAGCCTTCCTTGTGAAGAGCGCCGTCATGGGCGTCGTCATTCGGCACCCCCGTTTGCTTCGCCATGTTGCGAAGCTGCTCCGCCTCCGGCCTCCTATGTAGCGGCTACGGCGGCCTTGGTGCGATACCTTCTCCGAGGCTCCTCGCTGCCACTCCTTGGAGCTCCTGCTTCGCGAAGATCGCCAAGTTCCGGTAGCCCCTTCGTGTCATGCGCAACTTCATCCCTGCTCCTCCTTGACCGACATCCCCCTGTGGAATTCCCATCCCCCTGAAGTACCCCGCCACCATCCCGGACCTGGCTTCTTCTGGCTAGACCTCCAACGGTTCTGCCTCTCGTCCCGGGCCTTCCGTTTGGCCCAGGCTTCGCTGCCGAAGGTGGCAAGTCAGCGCCTGCATTTGCACCTTCACATCCTGAGCATTTGGCTCCTCGGCCACCTTCTCCGTTTCATGGTGGCATGGGCGAGTGGGTGGCCCTTCAGGCCCCTCATGGGCCACGATTTGGCTCAACCGACTCTAAAGCAAGAAGGGGCTACACCTCCAGGTCAAAACATGCTCAAGGCTTACAACCTTTCCGTTTGGGTGGAGAAACGCACAAACATGTTGGTTTGCTGTGTATGTGGTGTTTCAAACTGTTGTGGCTTCTGTTTGTGCCTGCATCGCCTTTCTTGATCTTCTTTTTGTTGGATTGCGCGTAAATGTGTGTTTGTGCTTCTGTATGTGTTGTGTGTTGTGTGTTTTTGCCTCTGTGCCCCTGTGCCTGAGGGCCTTTTTGCCTTATTTCGATGTGCGTTGGCTCGTGTTTGTGTTGAGTCTCCATGCTGCCTGTGTGTGCCTTTGTGTG